GTGATTTAAAAAAAGGTTTATGAAATATATATAATTACTGTAGTTTTAGCCCTGCAATTGTTCGAGTAATTTCTATTTTAAATCAGTCCTCCTTAGAAAAATGAATACATTTCTCTTCCCCCTCATTCATTTTTCTTGTACACTGCAGTTTAAAAAGATTAAAATGGCATTTATAAATCCGTAACTCTAGAAAATGAAGGGAATATGCTTATCTATTTTAAAATTCATAGCATGGCTCAAAATAAGTCACTGATCAAATCTAGATCAAGTAGTGATTTTAATTCAATATTATTTTTGGAAAATGCTATTCATCTTCAAATGCAATTAAGAAAAATAAGCAGAGACAGACATATAATACCATATGAATTTTTAGCAAGCTGAGAGCTTCCTTTTTTTTTTGAGATAATTTTAGATTCACATGCAGCTGTAAGAAATAATAGAGATCCCATGTACCCTTCACTCAGTTTTGCTAATGGGAACATCTTACACAGCTATAGTACAATACCACAACCAGGAAATGGGCAGTAATAAAACCTACAAACTTTATTCAGATTTCTTCAGATTTCTGTGAACTGATATGTGTGTCTGTGTATCCATTTGTAGGAGCCCTGGTGGCACAGTGGTTAAGAGCTTGGTTGCTAACCTGAAGGTTAGTGGTTTGAACCCACCAGCCACTAAGCGGGAGAAAAATGTGAGTCTGCTTCCGTAAGGATTTCAGCCTTGAAAACCCTGTGGGGCAGTTTGATCCTGTCCTGCAGAGTCGCTATGAGTTGGAATTGACTCAACAGCAGTGGGTTTTGGGTGTATCTATTTAGGTCTATGCAATTTTATCACGAGTAGATTCCTGTGAACGCCACCATGGTCAAGACATACAGATCAGTTCTATCACAGAGATCCCTGTGCTGCCCCTTTATAACCTCATGCCCCCTAATCTTCTTCGCCTTATACCTCCTTCCTAACACCTGGCCACCACTAATCTGTTCTCCATCTCTGTAATGTTGTCATTACATAGATGGAGTCATACAGTATGTAACCTTTTGGGGTTGACTTTTTTTCACTCACCAGAATTCCCTTGAGATAAATTGAGAGCTTTTTAAAAGTGATTTGCAAAGAGGGCCTAACACCTTTCCCGCTGGCCACTTGCTTGTTACTGTCCTTTAGCAAAACAGCTGGAATGAGCACTGCATATAGTAGAGGCGCTTCTGCTGATCAGTTTCTCCACGAACTTGCATGTGAAATAGTCCCCCACTACTCATTTCATTCTAAGAGACTCTCCCAGGAGAATCTGGGAATTCCTTTTCTGATCAGCCTGCCGATTTCTCAGTGGGAAACAGCCGTATTTCTCTTAAAGGGCATAGTCCATCTCCATAATATCTGTTTCATTTCCAGTCACATTCCAGTCTGCTCCAACTTCCTTTCTCCCTCTTTCCTTCCCCTGCGTTTTTCCACCCTAATTGGAAACAAGTTGTTTGAATTAAGTTCTAGATGAGATTCCTCCCAGTTTATATAATCTGACAAAAAAAAAAAAAATTGGTAATTTGACTGAAAACCTTTTAAAACTTGAAATCACATGCGTGGAAGGGTTCTTGTTGTTTCCATTGGCCTCACTGGATACCATCATGGTAGTTGTTACCTCCCTAATAGTCTTGTTTTGATTTGTTTTGCCTCAAAAGTAATTATAAAACATGTAATTCATTTGGATGCTCTAAACCCCATGCCCTGGGAATTTTATTACACAATAGGAGCTCTGTCTCAGACCAAGTCGTTCAGAGCCCTTACTGATCATCTATCTGATTGTTAGACGAGCATGTACATGAAATGTGTCACATTTTAAGCTGTAAATGAGAATATTGTTTTTAACCCATTGTCAATGTGTCGGATCCCACTATACAAGCAGAGATTCTTTTAAGATATTTTATAGATTGACAGCTTGGCTTCAAAGAAGTAAGAAGGTCTTTCTCTCATTCAATGTTTAAATAGTTGAGACATTATTCTTTAAAGGGAACTAGCTCACGTTTATAGGAATTGCTGTACATTTACTGAAAAGAGCTAGAATTGACATCTTTAATCTGAACACGCCCGAGAAGGTTTTTGCTGTAAGACAGTAAAATCTGTGAAAGCTGGAACGTGTGTAAGGCAGAAACATGTCAGAGAAGGAAAACTCAAATGTTTTCCATTAAAACGAGTGATAACAAAAGTAGTGACTGCACCCTGTCAAAGGCAGGAGAGTTTTGAGAGCTGGAAAAACAAGGCAGTCCTGTCGAGTTCCAGCTCTCACAGGTTTCACTGTATATGAACTTAACCACTGACCAACCTGTGTCTTCAGGTGTTTATCTGGATGATTGCTTTCAAGGTGTTGTCTAAATGAAATGATGGGGGATTCGGTGTTTTGGTGTTCTCATCCTAAGATGTACTTGACTGCAGACTGAGGCAGAGTCATGCTTGTGGCCTAGGAACAAGGTCTTCTCATAGATATCAATGTAGGACCAAGTCAGGACCCATTCATTAATCTTCTCTATCAATAACCCAGTCTTTTTCTTTACTTGAAAACTAGGTACAGTGTACAGGTTAATATGGTCACTCAGAATTAATTTTACTTGTCAACATGCCTTACTAAATGATAGCATTTCTATAAACTGTGGCTTGTTGCTGACAGTAAAGCTGCAGAGTCCAGCAAATTAAAGATTGAGGTGTTTGCACAATGGAACTAACCACACGTCCACATGACTACTTAGAAAAGATTGTGTTCCGTTGCATTTTGCCCACTGCACTGTCCGTGTGCTAGAATGCCCAGAATCCTGAAGCCTGGATTTGAATCTTAGCTCTGACCTATCCATTCTCCATTTCCACTGCATCTTGAAACTGAAGAAACTGCAACGTTGGTCAGTCAGTAATTGTGGAGTACATACTATATGCCAGGCACTGTCCAGGCACGGGCTGTGATTCAGGCAATGTGTTACTTTACTCAGCAGCTTAATTTTGCGTGTTTATTGCTTTTATTTTCATTTGTGGGTTTAAGCTTTTTTCATGAAGCAGTCTTTAACTTTTACTGTCAGTTTTTCTTTCTGGTTAAATAAACATATGGCTGAATTATGATGAGGGACATAACTTCTTAGACATTAATGACTAAAGGATCCTTGTAAAGTTGTTTGGAAAAGATCCCATGTTAGTTCAGAGCATAATATGTATTTGTCAGTATTCATACATGAGGAGCACAGCCATGAATGCTCTGCATAGATGTTAGGTTCCTTGGTTGAAGAATCATTGATTACTTATTTGCCATAGGACATAAATAAAGTGGTGCTTTCTTACAATTTAATCATTTTTGCAAACTGCTACTTGAACTTTTTTCAGGTAGAACTTGCAGAGTTTCTGGATCATATTGCTTCTTTACAGCAGTGTGATTTCATCAAATCTCCTTTAGTAGGCTTTTTGGTCTGATTTCATTGACTTAGGAAAGGCATAAGAATCTCTTACTGGATATATTGAAAGGATCAAGGTGTTTTTTGTTTTTCCCTTTTATCTTTTTAAAAACTTTTATTGTGATGTACAAACAATACAGGTTCTCATGGAATCCAACTGAAGGTGAATGCAGAATTATTTGTGTGTATGTATGTTTCTAACTTTCAACAAATTATCAAATTGGCGAGGCATTGGTAGTAGCACTCATGACATGGGGTAGATAATCATCAGTGGCCCAGTATCTTGATGGTGCTTCAATACTTAGGCATCAGTCTATTCTCCTTGGGAACACTGGCATTTTAAAGATTTTTTGGTACTTTTTATAAGAAAAAAAGAATTGGTAACTGAAGAAGAGCGCTTGGGTAAGCTGGGATCTGGCACAGTTGAAACTGGAACAATGACACCCTCTGTTCTCTGCATGTAAAGAATCTGGGCTAGATTGCTTGGTCCCAGGGCTCCGCTCCAGACCAGACCTAAATTTAGGGCATCTTATTGACTCTCTTAACAGAGGCCCAGAGGTGTGGAAAACCATGTTTATAGTTCTGTGAGTTAGGGGAAATGAATTTTTATTTTATTTTTTAAATAATATCGAATGAGTCAGAGCAGGTAAAACTTACAAAGTGAGCATTTTGGAAAATATGTTAAAAATAGTATAAGAAGCCCTTGGGGTACAGTGAGTGGTTATGGGCTTGGCTGCTAACTGAAAGGTTGAAGGTTGAAATTCACCCAGCGGCTCCCCAGGAGAAGGACTTGACGATCTGCTGCCATAAAGATTACAGCCTAGGAAACTCTATGGGGCAGTTCTGCCCTGTCACATGGAGTCACTGTGAGTCAAAATCGACTCGACGGCATCCAGCAACAACAAGCAAATACATACTAGCTTGGAAATGTAAATCCAGTGGATCTCAGAATTTTTAGTTCCGTTATCCCCCTTAGTGTTCTTACTGTGAGTGAATCTCTGACCTTTGTCACATGCCCTGCTCTCCTACTAAAAAAAGAAATTATCATACAGTTTGAGGTTAAAGGAGCTACTATTACTGATTCCTCTATTAACCATTAATTTGGTTCATTTTTTTTTTAGGTTTGAATAATTTTTGTAGGATAAAAAGTTATACATAATTTCATGTTTTCTCTTATTTTTTTAAGGAGTACCAACTAAGTTTTTTTCTTTTTTAATGATGAGAATTTTGCAATAGAAAATTTGTATTTTATGGTAATAGTTATAACCTACACAAAAGTCCAATTCTGAGTACTGTTTAGGTAGTTGAATTTAGAAGCATATGCATTTTGGTTTTCTTTTGTTCATTTATTATGGCATATGTATGCGTGTATTTATTATTTATATACTAGAAGATAAAATCATATACTTCGATTTCCATTCTAAAAAAAGTTTACAGAATTTAACTAAATAAAATAAGCAGAAAGTGGCATTAGCAATAATTTATATTGTGATTGAAATAAAAAAGCCTTTGGATCTTTTTTTTTAACTTTAAATTCCAAGATTTATATTAAAAGAATCATTGTTTTTTCCCCCCCAGATAAATTTGCGCCTCATCTTGGTAAGCGGGAAAACAAAAGAATTCCTGTTTTCTCCTAATGATTCTGCTTCAGACATTGCAAAGCATGTGTATGACAATTGGCCAATGGGTGAGTGACTTTTTTCTCTTGAGAGTGAATAATGTTAATTCTTTATGTCCCCCCTTGTTTAACAAAAGTTTTAAAACAGTGACAAATATATAAAGTACAAAAGCACAAACAAATAATTGAGAATGTGGGGCCCAGACTTAAAGGGGAGACCATTGTACCCTTCCCTAGATTTTACCCTTTGCCTCTCTCATTGCAAAATGCAGGTGAAAGTAGCCCAGTGCAGAAGATCCCGGCTTTTGCCTTCGGACTGTTTAAATGTAAATGAAAAAATGTATTTTAAGAAGAAAAACTCAAAGTAGTTAATATACACACACTTTCGTATCTGTATCATATCTACTATACCAAAACAGAAAGTGAAAGAAAAGAAGAACTATCTTTAACAGATCATGATATATTCTCTTTGGTCTACTCTATACGTAGCCTGTTTAAAATTGAGTTTTATTCAAAGTTAGTTTCTAATTCCATGTCAATTCCTGTGTTCTCTGAACAAAGTCAAGAAGCTAGAAAGCCCACTTAATGTTTTCATTTTCAAGACAGCAGGTATCCATGACAAACAGAATTTTGAGTGAGTGTGGGGGGCGGGGGGTGGAGGGGGTACTCCTTCCTTGCTGTGATTCTGTTCTACGTAGGACACTGTCTCCTCCCTTAACCAAATCTTCAGCTTATGATCTTCCTTTGAACTTTCCCCAAGTGTCATCTTGGCCCTTTTTATGGCAGGCACCAGTCATATGACTGTGCCAGCTGATTTCAGCTAATTTTACTAGCAGAAGCAATTTAGACTGTTAAAGACTGAGACTTGTTTCAACAAAGAACACAGTGTGTATACAAAATGAATCATTTAGATCAGTGCTTCTTAACCTTAAATAATATATGGAGCCTTTTTAGAGGAAGAAAATTCTCATAGGTTTCCTAACTCTGACTTTAGCTATTTTTTATTATCATGTTATTTGTTTTAAAATGTATAAACATAAAACCCAGTTAAAACTCTTTATGCTTATAGCTTGTATCCAACCATAAAACTAAAACCGATCTATAAAGAAGATGCAACTATAACTCTAAAACCAATAATAATCAAATTAACATTAATGTACCAGGTGATGTATTTTTGCTGAAACCACATCAGTACTGGCACTGTGAATGCGGTACTGTTGAGTTTGGCGTGCTGACACTCCTGCATTTTGTGATGACTCAATTATCTGCCAGTTTACCACAGAACCTTCGTTTATACAGTGTACCAAGTTGTCATTCAACCTTCATTTAGCAAGAATGCATCCTTTAAGTATTAGGTTAACCTCTGTTCTTTTCTCATTAGCCCCTTGACAATTAAAGTAGTACTACTTGGCACCAGGACAATCATAAACAGAAATGCATACGTCGGTACCAAAATCCCAAGGCTCTATTTGATTGTAAGGTGATTCTTTGAATGACGTAGATAATCTCTTCCAGATTATCATGAAAATGAAAATACAGTTTAAAAATTCTTGAAGAGGACTTTGAAAACCAAAGGATCTATCTTTGTGGGTTCTCAGACCTGAGTTTAGGAAACACTGATTTAGACAAATACTTTCATGTACTGGAACATTCTTCCCATCAGTAGCCAAGTGAGTCAGTGCTAGTTAGTCAGGGAGGGACTGAAGCTAAAGGCTGTCACTAAGAAGAAGTTTCAGAAAAGTAAATTGACTAAACGTAGGGCTCATAGAATATTGAGTTTTCTTCATAACCACGACAAAGAGGTAACCTTCAGTATGAAAAGAATTTTAAATACCTGTCTGATAGTGATGTTCTGCTAGCTCTGTTCACAAGATTACTTTTAGTCAGTTTCAACATCTAGAGATACTGTAGAAAAGATAATAAAAGAAGACCAATAAGGTATCCTGTGCTCCCTCCCCAAAAAAATTATTTTATTTTGGCAATATTATTACTTGAGGTAAGAAAAAATACTTTTACCTTCATAATTGACTTAGATTGTTAAAATTAGTTTTATTTAACTTCTTAAAATTCCCCGATTAATGGTCAACAAAGGAGAGACTCAGTGCAGCAGGTCTTTGCCATAAATAATATCTCAAAGAATGAGCTGTGTTGAAAATTGATTATATCAACCCTTGGTTCATATTTCCACATAAAAGTTTTTGATTCCCGGTCTTTCCTCAGTTTGCCAAATCTGTTCAGCATTTTTAGACACTGCAGGGAATAAAAAATAATTTTAATTCCTATAAAATATTTAAACAAAGTACATAGGTCTATAATGTATCACATGAAGTACTAAAGGTCAGTAAAGGAAAATATTTACTGATGCTAATAATGTGTAGTAAATATTAAATCCATACAAGAAAATGCTTTGTACAATGTACTTCTGGGAGGAATTAGTTTTCTTTAGCATATCCTTATGCAGTTTAGTGAAAAGATTGCTAATAGATGGAGTAGTCAGACACATAGCTATTATTGGGCCAGATGTACTCCCCCCGACACACACAAAAAAAGTCCACTAAATATATGTTACTAAAAGCTGGAATTCCTCCTTCATCTTTAAGCATTGTCCTTCTGTGGGTGAGTCTCTAAATTTCAGATCCTTCAAGGCGGGGGGTGGAGGTGGGGGGAGGGAATAACCAATGAAGCCAGAAATCAGGATGCTCTTTTTATAAGATAATGAAATATGTGGATTCAAATTTCTGCATCTCAAAATAACACTTCAAATATTTGTAGAAATTGCACTTGCAGAATTTCATATTAACTGAGAAATTTGTATCTTTAGCCTTTTTTCTCTGTGGGTTAGACAATTACTGCCTTTTTTTTTTTCTATCTATGGAACACTTCCATCTAGACCAGCAATATCCTAGTAACCAGTAATTTGAGGACCAGTGAATTCAGTGTAATCCATACTAAAGTGTTAAGAGCTGATTTTATCTTTCTTGCTCAAGAGGAGAGACCTGGGATAAATGGCCACAAAGGAATGCCAGAGGGTAGGGAAGAGAAACAAGGAAAAAGCCCCAGGAATGGGCTGAAGACCGTCACAGATCCATCCCCCCAACTTTCTGCCACACCTGGGTCACTGAGAGGCAGCGGTTTCATCAAATTTTAATTCATATTCATTTTGACCCTCCTCTTTCTCTGCTGTTACTCACTCTTTTCAGAATATTTAGAACTTTTTTTTGCATTGATCGTTGTCTCCTTTTATGGGAAACAGCCATCATAATAGAATTTTTGACAAAGACGACTGAGGAATTCTTACATGTTTATTAAGATCCGAGCTTAAATAATTACATCTGCAAGTAAATGAAAATTACTGACTCCACGCCCTGTTCATAAGCGTCTCGTTCGCATAGCACGAGTATCCTTAAACCATTATTTTTTTGTATCTGATTTTTTTTATTGTAAAAATATACATAATACATTTGACAATTTAACATTTTTCACGTGTACAATTCAGTGACATCAATTTTATTACACCACTAATATTCATTGCCTAATTTTCTGTCACCATAAACAGAATTGTGTCTAATTTTTAAAATAATTTTTATTGTTGCAAATTTACACAGCAAAGCATGTCGTCAGTTTCTACATGTACATTTCAGTGACATTGATTACAGTCTTTAAATTGAGCAGCCATTCAAACCCTTCTTTTCCTAGTTATTCCTCCATAATTAACAAGAACTCACTGCCCCTCAAGCTTCCTGTCTAACCTTAGGAGTTGCTGTTGTCAGTTTGATCCCAGATAGATAGTTTTTTAAAAGAGCACAATACTCAAGGCAGACATTCTTTACTAATTAAGCTAAATTATTGTTTGGTTTAAAGAAGACTTCAGGGAATATTTTTGGTTTAGAGTTTAAGGCTTAAACCGTTATTTTAACAGAGTGATGTTCCATACTTTTCTATAACACACGTTATATGCTGAAATTAAATATTCTGTTAGCCATCCAGCCCACCAGTTTAGTTTGTCTTTTGGTTATGTTTGTGTACTTCTCTAGCTTTATTTGTAGATTACCTTCTAATATACGCTGTATTTTGTGTTTCTTCTAAGTATATTCTGGGTAAAATGAACTGAAGTTGTGTCTTCTGTAATATTTACTAGTTGACTTAAAAAAAGACAAAGTAATAAATCAGTATTATCCAAAAGTAAACACTTAATTTTTTTGTTATTTTCAATATCAATTTATTAATTCATTTAAAAATCTTTATTAAACCTATTATTTCAAGCCTTGAATATACGTTTTAAACAGGTTACAGTAATGAAACATTATAGTCCTCTCTGTTGATAACAGGTAACTGAAATTAATTTTCAAATGGTATCTCTTTACTGGGATTAGATTTTTCTCAACTCATTTGCTTTAATTTTGTAAACTTCAGGACTACAACTTGGCACCTTTTAGTATCGTTTACCAGGCGAAAACTAGTCTTGTTATTTAGTGAGAAGAACAAGCAGGGAACAAGGCTGCCGTCAATGTGTGCTTAGCGGTGTCTGAATTATTTGGAATTTCAAAGCGTTGTCTTTGTCACACTGTCTGGTTGGGATCTGAATTTGTAGAACAGTATAGTAGTACCTTAATTATGTGTTGAAATGCACCTGACCACCTCACTGGATTCTTTTCAGACTGGGAAGAAGAACAAGTCAGCAGTCCAAATATTCTACGACTTATTTATCAAGGACGCTTTCTACATGGAAATGTCACATTAGGAGGTAATAGTCACCTTTGTAATGGGATTTAATGTCTGTCTCATGATGACACTCTTTCTTCCTTTTAAGTGCTACTGTCTTTGATTTTACTAAAAATTATAAAGTCAAAGTCAATATGAATTATGTCCATTACTTTGGTATGCTTAGGTGACGTAAGTGGTTAAGAGTTCGGCTGCTAACCAAAAGGTCAGCAGTTCAAATCCACTAGGCGCTCGTTGGAAGTCCTGTGGGGCAGTTCTGTTCTGTCCTCTATGGTCACTATGAGTCGGAATCAACCCGATGGCAACGGGTTTGAGTTTGGTTTTGGTTTATATTTTGTATTCTGTTAAATTCAATTTTAGTGCCATGAAAGTGTTTCTTACCTTGTAAAATAAACTCTATCCCATTATAAGTGGGAGTCCATACTTATTATTTTATAAATGTTATTATTTTATTATACTTCTGAATAACAATTTGAATGTATTATTTTCTAGTTAAAATAATGCACACAGACTAGAAATAGTTTATAATTGGTTTTCAAACATAGTAATAAATGGATCTTTCAGTTTGACTCTAAATGATATAATTGCTAATCATATGAGAATAAAAGTAAATGACTAAAATTAGAGAGGCAGTATAGTGTAAATTGAAGAGTAAATTCTGGAACCAGACCGTCTAAGTCGTATCTAGTTCCACCGCTTACTGGCTGTGTAACCTTGGGCAAGTTACTTAACCATTCTGTGTCCCAGTAGCCTCATCAATAAAATAGGATAACAGTAGTGCCTACCTCATAGGTTGGGAGGGTAAATTAGTTTATATATTCAAAGCATTTAGAATAGTGCTTGGCACATTAGTAAACTCTCAGTTGTGATTGGAGAAATGTAGCTCAATGGCGCCCCCTTCTGGGGTACATTTTCTATCTTAAGCAAAGTTTTTGTTCTGTTTTTTTTGTGTATGTCTTTCTGATATACTCAGATAATTAGAAATTTGAAGGCAATTAAAGGTGATTCATTTAAATATGTTTTTGTTTAGTCTTTCATCCTCTCTACTGGACAGTGAAATATTCAGTCCATTTTTCTTTAAAAGTAGAATATGTTTATTCATTCACCATGTATTTATTGTGTTCTTCCTGTTTGCCAGCCGTTGGGGATACAGGGCTGGACAACATAGCATCTAGAGCTCTAGTATTATGGAGGAGAAACAGAAATGAAATCCACTTTTAAAACACTGTGTGGTAAGGGCTGGAGTAGATGTTTGCAGATGACATGACAGTAGCGAGTAGGTAGAACAAGTCCCGATATACTCTCACACACAACAAGTTTTGGGGGCAGTGGGGTAACTGGTCTAAAAAGTGCTTCTGTCTACTGCGAGGTATCTGCTATTTAAATAAAGCTTTATTTTGTTTGTGTTTCTTCTTCTTCTACCTCTTTGTATGATTAGAGGGACCAACCTTTAATGAATTAATTGAATATAGCTCTCTGGCTATATTGTGCATTCATTAAGGATGGGGCCATATTTAGCCCCCCCCCCCTTTTTTTAACCCCCTATAGCTCACACAAGAACTTGAGTGAATTAACAGTTGGTAAATGTTGCTTAAGGAATCCTGGTTGCACAGTGGTTAAGCACTCGGCTGCTAACTGAAAGGTCAGCGGTTTGAACCCACCAGCCACTCTGGGAGAAAGATGTAGCAGTCTGCTTCCATAAAGATTACAACCTTGGAAACCCTGTGGGGCAGTTCTGCTCTGTCGTGTAGGAGTTGCTCTAAGAATCGACTCAACGGCAATGGGTTTGGTTTGTTTTTTTTTACTGACTGTAGATAATACAGAGACAGCACACGGGGATAACAACTGTCTTCAAATATTTGCAGGACTGGTGTGGGAGAAGGCTTCAGCTTGCTCTGTGTGGCCCAGTGTGCTAGACTTAGAGCCAATAGCTGGGAATCAAAGGCAGACAGATTTCTATTCAATATAAGGAAAAAATTCTGAACACATTTAGCCTCCTAAAGAAAAAATGGACTGCCTTGGGAAAGAGTGAGGTCCTTGTCATTGGTTATATTCAAGCAGTAGGTGACTGAGATCGTGGGAATACATATTATAGGGAGGAGTCAGTCATCACTGAAGGCTGAAGTGGATGGCCAGACTGGGAAACCTGGGCATTCTCTGCCATTCCTGAGATTGTACGGCCCAGTAAGTTTCAGGTTTACATTTTTGGTTATCAAATCTCTTAAAACATAGCCTTGAATCCCCTTTTTTGAGATGGAACTTTTTAGACATATATAGTTTCAATCCACTAAAGTAAAGATGTGGTAGCAGTCTTAGTAACTGGAGGACAAATAAGAATAGTATCAGCTAAAAGTTGGATATTCAGTACATTCCAGATCAGTGCTTTCCCAAGTGTGATTCTTAGACTGTGGGTGCGAGAACCACCTAGGATGCGTATTTAAAAATGCGCATTTCCCCATCCCCCAACTCACACCTCCCAATCTGATACTGAATTGAAATCCCGGGTGATTTTGATTGACACTAAAGGTCTGTTCTGGAAATACTGTACAGTGTCATAGTAGAAAGCAGCTGTACCCACAGTGAAGGAAAAGCATTTTAAAGTCCAGTATCTCTCTTCCTTCACCTTTAATACTGTAAGCATCAATATCTACTGGTTCTAGTTAAAATTCAAATGGAGAAAAAAAACAGTCCCCACCAGTCAAATGCGTAGCTTCAGGTATAAGCCACTCAGCATCTGTCCAGTCCTGTGCAACATTTCTTTAAATTTACAGTTCAGTTCACTCATGTATTTCTGAAATTCATCTTCCTTGGCATCTCAGAGTGATGATCCTGGTAATGCTTCTTGGTGCCAAACTCTGAACTAAGCACTTTCCATGCATTGTCTCATTTAATTGACACAGCTGTAAGGGGCAAATAATAGAATTAATATCTAGGTTAAGGGATCCATTTACGGTTACTACCTAGTGCCGTCAAGTCGATTCTGACTCAGTGACCTCACGTGACAGAGTAACACTGCCCCATGGGGTTTCCAAGGCTGTCATCTTTACAGCAGCAGACTGCCACGTCTTTGTTTTGCAGAGCGGCTGGCGGGTTCAAACCACCAAGCTTTCGTTTAGCAGCTGAGCACTTAACCACTGCGCCACCAGGGCTCCTTGTTGAAGGTTAAGGAGAGGGTGACTTGCTCGGTGTGCAGAGTTGGCAGAGACAGGATTATTAAACCAGGCTGGCCTACTGGAGCCAAGAGGATAGTATGAGAGTGACATACGGTTTGCTGTGTGTACATTTGAACTTCAGGTCAAGGTTCAGGTGTTGGTTAGGCTGTACTTATGCATTTGATGAAATTTTTAATATAAAGTCTTATTTGCATTTTAATGTTAAATCAGGCCTAGGAGATCACCCCTCTCTGCCCAGGAGGGAGAACTCTTTTTTCCCCCTCCTAGTGTATAGTGAAGGTATGCTGGGGCCGTGGTGCTTCATTTGAACGTCAGCACTTAAGAGAATGAAGTGTGGCTGTTCGTTGTTGTCATGGTTGTTAGGGGCTGTCTAGTCGGTTCTAACTCGTAGCGACCCTGTGTAGAACAGAACGAAACACCGCCCAGTCCCAAATCATGGCTGTCCAACTTTAAATAAAATGGAAACTTGCCTTGATTACATGAGATATAATACTGACAATATCGTAAAACAATATGTGTACTAACTGTTTAATGAGAAACTATTCTGTAAACCTTCATCTTAAATACAATAAAAAATAATATTGAGGATAATTTGGACTCTTTTTTAAAATTTAACTATCATCCTATAAGGGAGGATTTAAAACACAGGTAGTACGAGGGTCATACTTGCTAAGTAATGATCTTCAGCTATTTAGTTAGTGAAGATAAAGTAGTTTGGGATGTCAGAACTAAAACATCATAACTATGGACACAACTCTAGTAGCTGGCAATACGGGCTGCTTCTATTTTTAAACACAGAGTAACAAAGGGATTTGCTATGAAACTTGATGTTTGTATTTCCTTTAGTGGCTCATGAATACGTGAGCGTTTGTTATGTTATTGTTTCTATGTCTGAAATATGTTGTAATAACTTTTTTTTTTACTTAGGAGTGAGAAAAATCTTTGAAAAATTTGATTAGAAAACAATGATCTTTAATAATGCCAAAACTACCCTTTTTAAGAACATTATTTTCTAACTGAAGAATACAAGGTTGAGAATAAATATTTAAAATTAAGTTTGCCATTTCTTCTAGTCTTCGTTATAGTAGCCTGTTCAGTGCGGTAATTTTATTAGGTGACTGACATGTAATTAGATTTAGAAACAGATATCTCCCCATGTAAACTTTTTCTTAATCTAGAAAAAGTATTCTTTAAAAAAAACCAAACAAACCATTTTTATTCTTTTTGTTTTCCACCCTAAAGGCTATCTCTGTCATTAACTAATTATGTATTTTTTCAAATCCCTTTACTTAAACATTATGGATGTATGTGTCAAGCCAATGGCCATAGCTGGGAAGAATAGTTTTTTTGACTTGTAAAGGCTGTTTCTGGTAATATTAATCTGATTTCATTTAGTAAAGTAGGTGCTCTGCATGGTCAGAAGCTCAGTCTTTCGAGGAAAGCATACAGAAAGCAATCCATTTTTTAAATGTTTTCAGTTCTAGTTAGTGATTCCACCGAGTCACTGTGTATGTAACATATTGTTTTCTGCTTTTCACGTAGCGTTAAAACTTCCTTTTGGCAAAACAACAGTGATGCATTTGGTGGCCAGAGAGACATTGCCTGAGCCAAACTCTCAAGGTAAGCCAGGCCCTGGAGACATTCCTCGCTGGAGCCGCGGAGGCAGGCATTCCAGAATGTCTTGGTTTTTCTTGGACATTCTGAGGGAAAGGAAAATTTTGTAGTTTATGAATAGAGCTTGTCTAGCAAATAACCAGACATTTTGGAAACAGGCTAAAATTACAGGAGCGTTTGTTATAGCTTTTTAATTTAAAAAAATGCAAATATTAAAAAAGCAAAAACTGTTTCTTACTAGACTTGGTTCCCCCTCCAAAGGTAACATAAACAAGACTGTTCTTCATTTTCCCCAGGTCAGAGGAATCGTGAAAAGACTGGAGAGAGTAATTGTTGTGTAATCCTGTGAACACTGTCTGCCGTGTCTGCTGAGTGTGCGTGTTGGAGTCGTTGTCTTTCATGCTGCTGGGACAGAAGACACCCACCATTGCTTCAGAAACCCCTAGAACAGCCTGCCTGTCGACTCATGGAACTGAACTATTACACGAACACTGTCATCTTTTCTCATGAAAGTCAAAAGAACCAGGAACGTTTTTCACTATGATTTTTTGTTTCTCGTATTTTTGTTTATTTGAGCAGTTTTAAAATACGTTGGTTTTTGAATGCAGTCAACCTCCAGGGGAAAAGTTAATAAGTTATTTTCCATAGCAGAAACCATTTTGCTTCCACCAAAATGTTCATCACCAGAACTAACAAATCAAGTGTTCCAAATACAGTTTGCACTAAAAAAAAAAAAGATTGACATGATTTTGCCTCAGCAACAGAATTTGTAACATGGTTTATGGCACCTAGAAATACTCATAGATACAGTTCCACACTGGAAGACACTCAGCAGTTAGCAGAGTTAATTACTGGGCCAACTTGAGAGGAAAAAATGGAAACGAAACTAAAACGTTGGGTGAACCCTTTCCTACCAGAGTCAGCCTCGGGGCTGCGCTGGCACAGAGTCCTAGACTGAGTGTGACTACTTCACTGCAACACGTGGAAACGAGCAAACAAACAACAAAACGTGCCTGTTGTCTAAAGTGCTCAGCAGAGGGCTGATGAAACTCATTTTATTCCTTTACCACGTGCACTCTCGGGTCACAGTAACCGAGTGCTTATTTGTACCGCACAAAAAGGGACGAGAGTGCGTTTCCTAGCCTTAATATGGGAGGGGTAAATTCCTGTCGCTCATAGGCTTTTATGATTGTGCATAAAGATTAGAAAACCTCATTTACTGATCGATTTTATGTATTTAAATATCAGCAGATTGAATTTTTCCATAATTATTGCTCATCTGTAACGGTGTCCAGTGTCATGCATACTCATTAGAGCTCAATTGAATTCTTAAAAATTAAAAAAATAAAAATAAAAAAACTCCATAGCACTAATTTCGTTTCTTTATGTAGTTTGCATTTGGTATTAGTGCTTGCAATTGTATTAAAATCAAAAGCTGGTTTTTTAAGGCAGACATGATTTAGGATGCCATTCTTTCTTTTGTACCAAGAATTTAAAAATTAATATGCTAAAAATTTGCACAGCACTAAAGCATGAGCTAGTTTCATCTAAACCTGTAAAAATATAAAAGATTTTTATATTTTTTTCACTGGGAAGAAATCCTTCCTGGGTGAAATTACAAATATGTGTAGAATATATTTAATAAAAAAAACTTATAAAAATACCTAACTATAGAACTTAAATATAGATTGGCGTGTAGTATATAGAACAATATTCCATATAAATAACTTTAGCCTTTATAAAAATGAAGTTACAGGCTGGCATTATGTTCTGAACTTAGTGTCATGGCCCCTATGAACATGAAGTGTAACTGGTTTCAGACAGTCATCTTTGTTTAAATGTAATCAGGTTATTTTGTTCATTGTTAATGCTTTGATGAAAAGGCTTTATATGCAGTAGACCTAGGAAAATAGTGTTCATACTGATCAGAATTAAATTTGTATAGAGCAGAGTTTTAAAACAGATGTAAATAGCACTAAACATTTTCTTTCTGCAACCTGTACTTATAGATTCTTTCTGTAAACTAAATAAAAAAATATGGTAGTGCATTTTGGTGGTAATTTTCAAGGTCTTGATTAGGTCGATAATTGTTGAAGCACGGTCCCATCCATGTTGAATTTTTTTCTACTTTTCTTTCTGAATCCTTTCCCATTCCTCTGATTCATAATTTACCGCTGGTATCGGTGTGTGCCCAGTGTCCATCTGGCTCATTTGTGCACGGTCACAACAGTGGATGGAATTACGTCTCTGTCATCACGAAAATGTTACATTCAAGAGATGTTACATATTTACATGCTATGTTGACTGTAACGCCAGTGTGAATCCTTTCACTATTCACTAAAGAAGAGTCTGGTCATTACTTAATTGGCAATTAAGCCACTTATGGCTCTACTTTTGTAAAACAAACTCTTGGTAATTATTGTTTATACCTATTTTAATTCTGATCACTCATCTTTTTTTCCAAATTTAAAGACTATCAATTATTACTGAGGTTTTATGATGGTAAAAATATATGTGTATTCTCTACTGGTTTTCAAGATGTTTCTCTGGAAGTCCCCACATTATGTTTTTCCCTTCTCTTCCACAAGACCTCTCAATTTAGAGCTTGCTAAATGGGATAACCTGGTGCATTTGTAGAGAAAGAATTATGTCACTTAATATCAAATATCATAGTTGTGCGCACTGAAAAAGAATAAAAAGTAGCAAAATTATATATGGAAAACACCAAAAATTTAGATACCTTAATAGCATGTACATGAAACTACTTAACTACTCCTTTTAAGACAGTTCCTTGGACTGCCTGATGATTACAATGCCTGATTACAATATGATTGGTCCTATCCAAGGCTGCCGTTGAAGATCCCTCTGCCCAGAATAGCAGCTCGCTTATGTGAAGGCGAGATCTGACAAATCGAATCGTAACTCGCCTCTCTCCACTGAATTGTCCTAGACTTTGAGCAAGGCAGAGCTTCTCTTCTTTATTAAAACCTCAGCATGTCTCCCCAGTTGCAACCATTTGCTTTCTCTTCAACATATGTTGCTTCCTAATCTCCCCCATGAAAATGATAGTGTCTAACATCATCATTCACATTAAATGAGGTTTTCTCTTTACAAACATTTCTTCTTAGTTTTAATGAAGTCATCTTGACCAATGTTACAGTATTTCTGTTCTGATTGTGATCAAGTGTTTAATGTGAAAAGAAATTAAAACTTTCTTCATCTGTTGTAGAATATTTCCTTTCTTTTAAATGACTCCCATTCATTCTTTTGGTGTATTTTCCTGTTTTTTATTTCTCTGCTGTTTCTCTTTTTTCCTTTCTCCAGCTTATTTTATTACATTCTTGAGTAGAATTCAGCTTTGTGCCAGCCTTTACTCTGCCGTATTTTACTAAAAGCGAAGAGAAGTGACCAACCGAAATTTAGGAGGCTTTCCTACAATCTTGGTAGACAATAGGCAGACATGTCTTCACTTCTTTCCCATTATCGTTTTGTAGTGTAGTCACTTGTTAGCTGCACAGAGTAATTGAGGGGTGGAAGGAGAACTTGAGAAGAAGACATAGAACCTAAAATTATGGTTGAAATAGTTCGTGGACAAAATTCAGTGAAAAACATCTGGTTCTTAGATGTTGTTAGGTGCTGTCGAGTCAGCTCCAGCTCATAGTGACCCTGTGTACAATAGAGCGAAACACTGCCCAGTCCTGCACCATCCTCACAGTTGTTGCTGTGTTTGAGCCCATTGTTGCAGCCACTGTGTCTATCCATCTTATTTGAGGGTCTTTCTCTTTGTCGCTGAACCCTCTACCAAGCATGATTCTTAGATAGCAACGTTTAAACCAGTATTAGGTTGTAAAACAGATTTAATTTCAAATAATGTTGTTTTGTAGACATTGATGATGATATCAAATGTCCTTTATATATGTTTTTTATATTCTACTTCTTTTTCAAAATGACAGACTTAAAGAAATAAGGAGTAGACATAGTAAATCAGCCCTTGGAAAAAGGGATTGTCAATCTCTTTCGTGTGATCCAACCAATAACAAAGGAGAGGGCAAACACGTGTACGTGTGTATACGTGTTGTTGGTTGCCATTGAGTTGGCCCTGACTCATGGGATCCGCATGACAACAGAATGAAACGCCCTGCCCTGTGCCATCTTCACAGTTGTTGGTGTGCTCCAAGTCCATTGCTGTGTCCGCTGTGTATTTTGAGTGCCTTCCACCTTAGGGGACTCTTAGTGACCCCGTGTGACAGAGTAGAACTGCCCCATAGGGCTCCATATGTGTGTGTGTGTGTGTATATATAAGTATAGCTGCTTCCATAAAGATTCTACTCTGTCACATGGGGGTCCCTGAGTCAGAATCGGCTCGACAGCACCTAACAACAACATATTTCTTAAAATAGCAGCTGTGGAGTTTTTTTTTGTTCTGAAGTTTGTGGCAGAGATTTAACTGGCTTTGAAATCCACGTTCAAACAGGATTCAGTGTCTGACTTTCTATGTTCCTTGAGGCTTACTTTGGTATAAGGGAAGTCTACAATGTAGTGAGGGATTTTGCACTGAGGGGACAAAATCTAGAGGGAAAGGAATAGGGACTGGCCATAAGCTGAGTTGGCACCTCAAGGTTCCAATTGCTGTTTCTACACTGTCCACACCTTGCATATAATCATACCATTTTTTTGATTTACTCAGTTCTCAGCTTTCTACTAGATCAGAAGACAGCTTCTGATAAACAACAGTTTATCCAGCATTCAAGAGCCGGGGCTTGGTTCCCCTCACCCTCTCCCTCCCTTAAGGGAGAAAAAAAAAAACCTCGTCGCCATGGAGTTGATTCCGACTCACAATGACCCTATAGGATAGGGTAGAACTGCCCCATAGGGTTTCCAAGGAGCAGCTGGTGGATTTGAACTGCCAACCTTTTGGTAGCAGTCTGAGCTCTTAACCACTGTGCCACCAGGGCTCCCCCTTCCTTACAACATGCTTTTTACCTGGGATTGCTTAACTGAGTTCCACTGGTTAGGTGCCACTTGCCCCCAGTGATTCTTAGATGCATTTTAAAAAATTGATAATTTTAGCACTTCTCCATTTTGATTGATGTTGTCATTCAGGCCTCAGGTTTTAGAGACTAGCTGGACTTTGAAATCAGGATGACATTGAGTTGGGTGACTTTGAACAAGCCCCTTAGTCACTGAGCTTCAGTTTTTTCCATATATAAAATAAGATTGATACCTATTTTGTAGGATTGTTATACCAAAACCGAAACCCATTGCAGTCAAGTCAATTCCAACTCATAGCAACCCTAAAGGACAGAGTAGAGCTGCCCCACAGGGTTTCCAAGAAGCAGCTGGTGGATTTGAACTGCCAACTTTTTGGTTACTAGAGTGACCTCTTAACCACTGTGCCACCAGGGCTCCAGATTGTTAATAAGGGATCATTTTTAAATAAACACTAGAATGCTACATATAGTGCCTTGCCCAAGAAAAATTTATCTGGTGGACTGGCAAACCTATCAAAAGGCTTTATACCAGAGACGATGTGCTAGGCATCAGCAAGCACTCTAAACTTTGTGAAAGTTGCTGTGCTAGTTCCCAGGGGTGCCATAACAAAATGCCACAAACTACGTGGCTTATAAGGAGCCCTGGTGGCACAACAGATAAGCACTTGGCTGCTAACTGAAAGACAGTTGGAACTCACTCTGCCCAGCTGCTCTTCGAGAGAAAGAGGTGGCAATCTATTTCCATAAAGATTACAGCCTAGAA